CACTTGTATTAGACAAACGATCTGATGTAGCCTGTATTTTTTTATCATCCCAACTCCAAGGCCTGGTGCTCCGAGCTCATACTCCCAACACGTGTGGATATGCATTTATTCAGTTTTTCTACCTCATCTTATTAGTTTTCTTCAAAATGGTGACTATGATAATACTTCAACTCTTTTCTGCCTTAGTACTCCTTGTATCTATCAAATACTTTTTTTGTGTAATTCATTCAAAAAATATTGTCAAGATGCATTGCTGATTCTTTAAAGAGTGACACAGTTTTAATTTTGACATCAAATATCATGTAAAGCAAAATAACATAAACTATTTATGACCTGGGCTTCCCTGGTGGCTCAGTGGTCAAGAATCTGTCTGTAATACCAAAGACTCGGGTTCTAGGTTTGATCCCTGGGTCAGGAAGGCCCCCAGAGCGGGGAATTGGTAACCCACTCCAATATTCTTAGCCTGGAGAATTCCATGGACAGAGGAGCTACAGTTCATGGGGTCGAAAAGAGTTAGACATGACTGAGCGACTTTCAGTCACTCATTCTTTTACGACCTCAAGGAATTTGCCATCTAAACAGGGTACTCTGAGATGCATGGCACCTAGCCTGTACATAGTAGGTGCTCTATAAATATTTGTTCAATGAATAAGAAAATCCAAAGAGAATTATTCCTCAAGAAAAATGAATGACTACTTCTGGTATTTGCTATAGGCCAGGTTTCAGGACATGGGTTTAAGAAGCCAAAGCTGTGTTGTTTCAGGTGATTATTTTCTACGGGCAAATGGAAGAAAGACTGTTTTTAGTTGATAGCAGTGTATCCTAATGATTCAGACAAAATATTGAAAATGAGCAATTCTGGGGAAGAGAAGGTGGAGTATGAAGTTAAATGCCATCCACTTAAGAAGAATAAGCATCCAAGCTTTTTACTCATTAAATAGGACTTAAATTACCTATTTTGACAAGTAAGAATTTAAACCAGAGATCAATGTGGTGGTGGTGAGGGGTAAATATAGAAATTTCTGCCTGGGAATTGATCAAAGGAAACCATCCCCTCAGTCTTTCCTGTCAAGGATGATGTAATAATTACTCTGAAAAGAGGCAGAGGAAAGAATATCACTATGGTTTGTGAGATGGACTTTGTGAGCATAAACTTCCTTTTTCATCTTACTTGTCCTTACCTGACATGAAATGTTTTTCTTTCCGGTTTGGCCACTCGAACCAATGATAATGATTCCCACTTACTTATTAAGAAGTGAGAATCGTTAGAAAAAGCCTTCAAAGCAAACAGCTACCATAAAAAAAATACTGAAGGAGAAAATAAATAAACCTTTTTCTCTTAACAACTAGTGCCAACCTAAATCCTTCGCCATCCTTCAAAGAAAACGTTTACATGTTTTGACTAAAAAAAAAAACCCACAAAACTCCTTTTGTAATCTTTTTATCTTATTATCTCTATCATCTTTTGTGTGTCTGCTTTTTAAAAATCTTTTAAATCAAAACTTCCAGCTCAGTAATTTCATCGAAGTAAAACTACTAAAATCTATAGGATCGACTGAGAAATACACCACAAAGTTTTATTTTGATTATTGATATTTTGGGATTGAGCTGTGTTCAGTTGCTTAGTCGTGTCCAGCTCTTTGCGACTCCATGGACTGTAGCCCACCAGGCTCCTCTGTTCATAGGACTCTCCAGGCAGGAATGCTGTAGTGGGTTGCCATGCCTTCCTCCAGGGATCTTCCCAACCCTAGGGATCCAACCCACGTCTCCCGCATTGCAGGCGGATTCTCTACCGTCTGAACCACCAGGGAAGCCCACATTGATATTACGTGGTATTTATAATTCTCTATCTGTGTACTGAGATTATTGATGGGAAAGCAGGAAACTGAAGCTCTAACCCTGACAGCATCACTGTTACTTATGTGCACTTGGGCAAACCAGTTCACTTTGCTGTCTCAGTTCATTGTGTGGTGCCTCACCACTAGGATGATCTCCAGATTTTCTTCCAACTTTAATATCCTCTAGGTCTAGCTGAAAAGAAAGTTCATCTTGATACACCCACAATGGAGGGCAATTTGGCAGTGTCTCAGAATTACAGATGAACTTGACTGCTGACCCCAGTGATCTTTCTGGACATTCCTCCTGTGGCTGTATTTGCACATATGCAAAATCTCTTAGTTTTATGAGATTACAGAACAGTTTGTGATCCCTCAAGAGTAGAAACAAGCAAAACGTTCTCCAGCAAGGGTGAGTAAACTGATACATACAATGGTATGGTAGGCAGCTATAAATATATATTTTTTAACCATGTGGCAGGGACATTGGTGGGGTAGGTACTCAGGAAAGACCAAAGAAAAGCGAAATTTGTCATTTAAAGAAACAATTGGGCAGGATAGCTCAGAAGATTTCAAGGATCTGGGGAGAAAGTCTGTAAGAAAACTCCCTTAACCAAATACCTTCCTCCAGTTGAAGTCCTGAAAAACCGGAATTGAAATGAAGGCAAGGCCAAATTTGCAGTTGGCTTCCTTTGCCAAGCATGATCCACTTGGGCACCGCCTATCTGTAGGGTGCGGCTGTCTGCCTGTATAAAGCGTAGTCAGAAAGGTAGAGGGTAGCAGCGGTTGTACACTACCGCCTTCCTTTCGGCTCATCATCTGGGTTACTGAGGTCCTCTAGCGGCTGGCTGGGGAGGCCGGAACAGTCTCAGTTTGGTAGTAAACGCAGAGATCACAGGAGGCGGGGGGGAACCAACTCTATTTTCAATCCATCAGGCTCACGACCCCCAGCCACCCCCAGTATCAGTGGGAAGCTGTTGTGATAATCGGATTATGAAGAAATCGGAGTTTGGACGAGTGAGAATGTCAACGAGGACCAAATCTTTCTCTAAGTCTTTTCAAACTTTTCTAAACGAGGCCTCCTTCGCTTTAGGTGCCACTTTTTCAATTTAAGAACTGTCGTAAAGAGTTTTTTTTTTTTTTTTTTTTTTGCCGGGGGGTGGGGTGGTGGTAGTGGATTGGAAGCTGTCATTTTGGACAAAGATATTTAAAACTCCACCGTCAGTCTTACATCTTCAGTGATCCCATGTCTCTGAAAGGAAATGCCTTCCATATTCCTTCTAAAAAAAGCAAAACAAAACTTGACAAGTATTTCTTCTGCTCCTTGAGACACAAGGGCCATTGTCTTCCTTTGGCCCCCACTGATCTTGGCAGGACAGCCTGGACCTAGAGCCCAGATGGAGCGAGGTGGGGTGGGATGGGAGGGGGCGGTGATTGACACGCGGGACAAGCAGCCTAAAGCAACACCTGGGGGTGGGGCAGGGCTGCGCCCAAGCCTTTGGTTCTGTCCCCTGTTAGGTTTTCACTTCTCAACGTCTCAGCACTTGCATTCTAAATAGCAAAGCAATGACAAGCAAACAATCGAACTTAGCGTAAGTAAGTAATAAAGTGACAAGGCTCTCCCTAAGTGCTCTCCTCTGACCCCGCCTTCCCTGTCGTCCGGGACTGACTCAGTGGACAATCTGAGGTTCCCGCCCAGGGTAACAGGTTCCCACGGAGGGCACGGGAGTTGAGGCTGCCTTCGGGTCTGAGGGTGCGTGTGCATGAGCAACTATCTTCGGCCGGCGCCGAGCCCCCTTCCCTCATTTCTAGTCTTAGTTCAAGACTGGAGTGAACCCGGCTCGCGGCGGCTCGGCAGGCTAACTGCGCCCCTGCCCGCCCCCCCCCCCCCCCACTAGTCTACACCGACCGCCGAGGCTCAGCTCGCTGGTGCGGACAGGTGGGTTCCCGGCTGGGTCCTCCGCGCCGACTCGGCAGTCAGAACCCCGGCCCCGCGCGGGGGTGGGGACAAGCGTGTGTGCGGCCCGCGCCCGGGGCCCGAGACTCTACACATCGTAGGGAAAGGAAAAAAAAAAAAAAAACCAACTAAACCAAACAAAAACAAAACCCACCGACTTGCCCACGGTTTCTCTGCAGAGAAATCGTGGGCGGAGTCGTGAGGGGGCGAGTGAACAGAACTCCGACGAGGCCGCCTCCGCCTGCCCACCCACCCACCCGGCGGCCCCCTAAGCGCCGAGCGTCCCCGGCCCCCGCCCGGCCCAGCTTCGGGCTCCCGAGCGCAGGTCGAGGAGAAGCGGGCGGATCGTTCCACTCGGGCTTCCCGAGTACTCGGCTGGGCTCCTCAGTAGTAAACAAAGTGTCGCCGCCGCCTCCACGTTGGTTTGCCTCCTAGCAATCAAAACACTGAGAGGGCGAGAGACTCACAGAAACACTCGAGAATTACCAGAAAATAATAACAGAGAGCCAAAAAAATAAAAAGAGAGAGAGCGAGCGAGCGAGGGAGAGTGTTCATGTGAAATAGAAAAACACCCCACTACCCCCCACCAACCCACTGCCGCCTCCCCGTGGAAAACTGAGCCCCGCCCAGGCCAGCGCCCATTGGCGGTCCGGGCGCGGCCGCCGCGCTCTCATTGGTTGCGGGGGCCGTCCGTCAGGGGCGGGCCGGCGCGCGCGCCGCCGCCGCCGCCGGCGGGGGGCGGCGGCAGATCCCGTAAGTCGGGGCGGCCGCGTAGTCGCTGCAGCTGCCGCCGCCGCCGCCGCATTCAACAGGCAGCAGCGCCGCGGTCGCGCCCGCCCGGGGAGAGCGAGCGGCCCGCGGCGTCCGTCCGTTCGCCCTTCATTCGGCTGGGAGAGCGACGCCAGCGCTGTCGGGGCCCCGACGACTCTGGCCTGCCGTCCAGTCAGTGCAGCGGACCCGGAGGCGCCTAGATGCGGACGGAGCCGTGAAGTTAAGTTCTGAGCTCGCGCTTCCACTCCGCCGCCGCCGCGCCTCCCTCCCGGTTTCCGTCCGCTCGCTGCACCGACCTCACCCCTTCCCGCAGATCTCGGACCGGCTCTCGGCGCCCTCTCTCCCCTCGGCGCCCCCACCCCCCACCCCCGCCCGGTGCTGCGCTTTTCTCACTTCTGGGCAAGTCCCGCGGCTGGGGGAAGGGTGGGGGGGTCACCATGGCCGAAGCGCCCCAGGTGGTGGAGATCGACCCGGACTTCGAGCCGCTGCCCCGGCCGCGCTCGTGCACCTGGCCGCTGCCCCGGCCGGAGTTTAGCCAGTCCAACTCGGCTACCTCCAGCCCGGCGCCGTCGGGCGGCGCGGCGGCGAACCCCGACGGCGCCGCGGGCCTGCCCTCGGCCTCGGCGGCCGCTGTCAACACCGACTTCATGAGCAACCTGAGCCTGCTGGAGGAGAGCGGGGACTTCCAGCAGGCGCCCGGCTCCGTAGCGGCGGCCGCGGCGGCGGCGGCGGCGGTGGCGGCGGCGGCGGCGGCGGCCGCAGCTGCCGCCACCGGGGGTCTGTGCGGCGACTTCCCGGGCCCGGAGGCGGGCTGCCTGCACCCGGCGCCGCCGCAGCCCCCGCCGCCCGGCCCGCTGTCGCAGCACCCGCCCGTGCCTCCCGCCGCCGCCGCGGCCGCCGCCGGCGGGCCGCTCGCGGGGCAGCCGCGCAAGAGCAGCTCGTCCCGCCGCAACGCGTGGGGCAACCTGTCCTACGCCGACCTCATCACCAAGGCCATCGAGAGCTCGGCCGAGAAGCGACTCACGCTGTCGCAGATCTACGAGTGGATGGTCAAGAGCGTGCCCTACTTCAAGGATAAGGGCGACAGCAACAGCTCGGCGGGCTGGAAGGTGAGCGGCTTTCGGGCGCACGGCCGAAGCGGGAGGGGCGGGTGGGTGGCCGGGGGAGCCGGCCTCGGCCTGAGGTCGCGGCGGGGCTGAGGAGGAGGATGGGGGCAGGGGGGGAGGGCGCTCGCCGGTGCAAGTTCGCTTGGCCTGAAAGTGCAAGGCACGCGGGCAGCGCGTGCAGGGTGATGGCGAGAGTGGCAGAGATGGGTCGTGGGCTTGCCCGGGACCCGTCGGGGGTGGGGGGACAGGACTGAGTGTGTGCGCGCGCGCTCTAGTGAGAGTTGGAGCGGGACCGGGAAGGGGCTCGCTGGGACCAGAGGGGGTGAGGAAACGGACGCCAAGAAGTGGAGCTCCGAGCGGCCAGAAAAGTTCGCCCGTGAAAGAGAGGGGTGGGGCGGGGGGTCCACTGGGAGCTGTTCCCCCTAGGCTTGCGCGGACTCCAGCCGCTGCTTATATTCCCGCTCCCCATCCCCCAGGACATCGGGGGTGAGGGCGGCTCCCCGCCGCCCACGCGGCGGGCGTCCCCCACCCCCAAGCCCCGGGACGCCCCGCGGAGCCGTTTCCGCCGCGCGGGGCGGAGGAGGGCGCGGCGAAGGGGGCCTCAGAGCCCCGCCGCCCGGGGACGGAGCTGCAGGTGGAGGGGAACGGTAGGGCGCCAGCCGGGAGGCCCGTGGGGCCGACCGCGCAGTTTCGGGAGGCCCGCGTGCATTTTGTTTTGTTTTGATTGCGTTTGGAAGTGGCCTCGAGTGCCGGGGGCCGGGCGCGCCCAGCTAGAGGTAGCGCCTCCGACACGTGCGAAGGGGCGGCCACCGCCGGCGCAGCGCCGGCGCCCGGCCGCGCGAGGCAAGCTAAAGTTCAAGTGTGACCCTTGGCGGGGGCGGGAGCTGGCGACGGCGAGGGAGGGGCCGCGGGCGCAGGAAGCTTGCGCCTTTAAAGGGCCAGCGCGTTCTGGCCGCGCGCGCCGCCTGGCCCCGGCCGCGGGCGGCGAGGCCAGCGCTTCTCCGCGCCAGGAAGTGCCCCGCAAACTTGGCCTCGCCCTGGGCTCAAGGCCTTTAATTAGGCACAGAGAGGCTCCCCTGGATGACCGGGGTTGGGAAAATGTGTCCTCTGTTGCTTTTCCGTCTTAGTACGGAGGTGCAGATTCGAGAGGCAGGGCAGGGGGCTTTGAGACCAGTATTTTGGGGGAGTTAAGAGTGGAGGTTCGAATCTAGGGAACCGGAGGGACCTCCTGCCTCGATGGAGACCCTGTAGATGAAGTGCCTCTGGCCCTTTTTGCTTTTCTGAGAGAGAGACAGATACCCATCAGGAGAGATCCTGGAGGGGTCAGGTCCATCCCTCCTCCGAGGTAGAGAAGGCCCTGGGGTGCTCAGGAGGGCGGGCTCAGGGGAGGCTGACCGACCTTCCGTCCGCCCTACGGCTTCCAGAATCTGGCAGTTGCTCAGTGTCACAGGTGGAAGGATGGATGTCAAGGTTCTGTAGTTGAGCCAGACTCCTCCTCACCCCTCATCTGGACTGTATGTACAGCATAGTAATTTTCTTTGCTGCGCACTTGTCACACCAAGGTTGTTTTACATACAGTGTCATCCCAGTGGTTAATGTGTGTCGGAAAGGTTAAGTTAATCACATCGTATTGAAACTTGTGGAGAAGGAGCCAGGATCTTATTTCTTCCGAAGTGATTTTTAAAGTAAAAGCCTCACATATAATCTCATTCATTATAGGTATTACATGCAATTTTACCAAGTGCTTCTAAAAGGTAAAGAGCCTCTGTACTTTATGCGCAGTGTATATTCTTTTAAGTTAGAAAATAGAGGATGTCTGCCAAATTCACTTTTACTTTAACATTTGAATTTAAGTACTTGACTTATTTATTAATTCTGCTTGAGCTCTTATAAAGCATTTGCCATTAAAAAAACCTTTTTTTTTAATCGTTCAGAGTACAATATGTACTTAACACCGTTTTTGCATGTCCTTGGAAATGGATACAGCCTACTTCAGCTTGTTGGAGTGCCTTTCTTTGAAGATAGGGGAAGGCAAAGTTTGGGAATTAGTTTTAGTTTCGCCTCTCATGTAGCCTTAAGACATTCTTTAAACTAGGAATATAACTTAAATGTTTTTATTTTTTTTAAGTGCTTTAAAAATAAAAGATTCTAAGGCTAAAACCACCCCCCCAAGCCATTTATATTTTTTTTCCCAAATGCAATTATAATTAAAGAAAATGTACTGCTTAGAGCTGGAAGACCTGTTAAATGTTAGTAAGAATTATTGGTCCAGAATTAGAGGCTCAGTGGTGGCTCCCATCAGTAGCAGCTCCCAGTAGAAACCTCCTGGGGCTTTGGGAGGGAGCAGGCTGCCATTCTCAACTGAGGAAATGTTTCAGGTGTATCAGTCAGTTGGTGCAAGTCAGATTACAGCAAGTGCATTTTCACTTTGAGTAAAAGGGTATTTTAAGAAGAAAAGAAACAACCTGAAGTGTTTTCTAACTCATATCTCATCTTCTGGTTGGAGTTTTCATAAAAATGAGTTACTTGTTAAAACCAAGTTTCACTCTCATATAAGACTCACTGTGTTTTAAAGATTCATAAAAAGGAGAAATTTTACTATGACTTTTAGCTTGAAAAAAAAATTCAATTCTAAAATGCAAATCAACCCAAACTTGACTGCTTTAGGAGAGGCTGCTTTGGAACTAAGTTATTTCCTGTGATTTACTGTAGGGAATTAGATTGAATATTTAATTAAATATAGTTTGTTGTGCTTTACTTCCTGAGGCCTGCCTGAGAATTTGAAAGTGATTTGCATAGGACAGAATAGTTGGAAAGCTGTTGAAAAGTTCAGAAACTTTTAGTTCCTTAAAGACTGGTTGTATGTGTGGGCTATGCATTTGTATTTGTAGGAATGGTATGCCAAATCTTCTCTATACTTGTTTGAATATTGCTTAGAGCTGTCATAAGGCTACACACAAAGTGGAAGCTGGGACTTCTGGAAAACCCGGGATCTTTTAAGCCATGTACAGTATTTATAAATAGTGAAACTTCATTTCTATGATCTGTTTTTTTTTTTTTTTTTTTCTCTTCCCATGCAGAAAATTTTCTAGAGCTTGGGAAGTAATATTGTGAGTTCTGGCTCTGTATTTTGTTTTTGGTTTGAAATTGTTTGGAACACTTAATATAGGTTAATAGCTTACTTCAACAGTAAGACCTAACAGTTGTTAAAATTGTTTTACTATGAGCTACCTGAGATAGTCTTCATTTTGGAATGAAGTTTCTTTAATTTGGTCTGTGACCTGATGGTGCATTTTCTCATAATGTTTAAAAATTCTTAGGTATTCTATTCTAAGGGCTTTCAATCTGCAGGTGAGTAATTTAGCCACAGAGATTCCATGGCAGGTTTGATGGCTGCTTTCTTACTGCACAGTTATATTTGACAGAATCTTGTGAGGATTATTGAAATTAACCTTAAAGAAAACGTTTTTTACAGTCAGGCGGAAATCTCAATATATGTGTCTGAGGAAAGAAGCATGAGGAAAGAGAGTTGGGAAAGGGGCTAATGCAGGGAAGTGTGATGTCTTATTTGTTATAGGCTGAAAGTTATGTGGGCCTGATGTGAACATGTCTGTGGCTCAGATGTTTTGTTCAGAAGTTCCCAAATAGATGTCAAATGTGAATACTTAATTGTCCCTCATAAGAGCTTCATTTTTATTTTACTTTCGGTCTTCTGGTAAATCCTTGGGGAGATGCGGCAGGAGGGGTGGCTTCTATTTTTGGATGATATTCAGCTTTTTTTTTTTTTTAAGTGACAAACATGTGAATACTGGAAAGGGGGCATTTTAAATTCTCATGTCTCATGTAAACTTTAAAAAATGTTAACGTTTGTTGAGATTCCCGCCCCCCCCCCCCCCCCCCCCCCCCCCCCAGTTACTGAAAGGCTATGGCATTGGCAATGGACAGAAGTATTGCCAGCTATCATGCACTGCGAGGGCATCTTTTAAGTGCTTGCTTCCCAGGTGGTGCAGTGGCAAAGAATCTGCCTGCCAATGCAAAAAATGTGGTTTCAATCCCTGGATCTGGAAGATCCCCTGGAGGAGGGCATGGGAACCCACTCCAGTATTCTTGCTTGGAGAATCCCATGGACAGAGGAGCCTGGCAGGCTACAGTCCATTGTGTTGCAAAGAGTTGGACATGACTGAGCCACTGAGCACCCCCCCCCCCCATGAAATGGGGAGGGAGAAGTGAATACTCAGTGGTTGCTTAGAATCCCTGATAGGGAGGGCCCCAACCTTTTGCTTGCCCTTGTTCTCTAACCTCTTGATCCAAGCTCCTAAACTGCAGTTCTGGTGACTTTCTAAGAGAACATCTGTATTAGCCTGGAATTTCTTTGGGAAGCCTGAACTGTTTGCATTTTTCTGGCACCCTCTGCCCTTGGAAATGACCCAGTACCCTGGCATCATGGGAATTGACTCTGCTGGGTTTTTTTTTTGGTCTTTGTGTGCCATAACTCTCGGGCTTCCTGGGATCCTCTTAGAAAGGCTGTGTAAGCCCCGTGGTGTGGGAGAGCAGAGGAGTTTGCATAGTTGTGCTCCACGTTGAAGGAGCAGATCCAGCCCTGCTTCTGCAGTTCAAGGTGTGCTTCATAGTAACAGTTTGCAAAGACTTGCCCAGTCCCCCACCTGCCCTGGTGTACACAGAGGTCTTAAGTTGGTAGATTGTTACTCAGTTGTGAACCAAAGAGGACCAGATGAACTTGAAAGTGTTTATTTTGGAGTGTCTGAGGGGTAAAGGCTTGTTATTTCAATGGATACTCTGTGCACAAATGTATAAATGTACTCAAGTGTTGATGGATCCTCCTTTTTTTTTGTTAATTACCAATGAGGACCAACAATATTCAAGTCAGTGGCACAGAAAGTCTTCAAAGACAATTACTACCTTTTTTTTTGTAGTCATATATAAAACACAAGAAACATGAAAATGCTTATTTGTACATTGGTGATTTCATATTGTTCAACCTT